CTGTGGATTTTGGAGAACTGAGGTTGGAGGAGCTTTAGCCATGTTCTCAAAAAGGAAAATACAGTGATGAGATTGTAGCTGGGGCTTGGGTTTTTAAAAGACACTTCCTTTCTACTATAAGAAAAAAATTACTAATTTATTTTCTGCCTCACCTCCAAGCCAATGTGAAGAGGTTCAGAAGCACAACCTTGACATTTATTGTGTAGATTTTTGTGAAATGGATTTTGAATTGCACTGTGAATGCACTGCCCATAGTTTGGAACACAAATTATTTGACGTGGGGATGGTGCATATGTGCAACAGGACAGTGACACCACAGCAATGAGATCTAATGAAACCAGTCTTTTAGGCCAATAAAACACAATCCATTTGCTTCAGGCACATCTTGACCTGATGGGGTCTGTATGGTATAGTCAAATAATTCTCCCATTAAACCTTTTTAAGTAAACTTGGGGGTTTTTTTAATATCTGTCATTCCTAGTGGAGAAATTATAAATGAAGGTTTAGTTTAATAGGTGCCTTTGTACTCACTGTGTACTCCCTGAAAAACATAAAAATGGTGTGTTCATGTACCACTGTCAGACATGGTTCCCTCCTAAAAAAAAAAATTACTTAGAAGTTAATAGTTTGCACATTTTTTCTGCCTTTTCCCTGTAAAGTTTGTCATGGCAAAGGCAGACAAAATCAACTCCTGGCACAGATGTTTATTACACTAAAATTCATTTGTAATCAGCTATGATAGACTATGTGGCTGTATCAGTTAAGTGCCTGAGTGATTATTGTAGTGTTTGTGTTCCAGATAATTCAGGGTCATGTCCAGTGGTGTAGTTTTGACTTGCTGCAAGTACATTAAACTGTTTAGTAATGGATGGGAAGACAGAACCTCTGAAGTGTCTCCTCTTAATAACCATGCCATGATTCATGTGCTACAGTACTGAAGCATAATAGAACAAATTAAAGACAGAATAGAAGCTGTCTTTCTTAATCTCTTACAGATTTGCTATGTTTTTAGCATCTTAACATTTGTTTCCTTTATTTAATTATTCACTCTACCAGAGAGAATTATGCCAGCTTTTCATTATAAACTGTCCCTGGAGATATGGAAGAAAACCTCTCCTAAGCTACCTAGAAGTTCAAAACCATTTTCAGTCTTGGAAACAGATTAACAACTAAATGTGAGGGTTTATTCCATCTTGTCACAAATGAAAAAGACTGCAAGTGGTAGTTACTGCACAGTCTGATCTCATCATCATTGATCCTCGTGCTGGAATCCCAGAAACTGTCATGAGATGGCATCCAAAGCTGTTTGTAGCTGCTTCATTACCTCTTGTTATTGATTGGTTCATCAGGTCCCACCCTGTCACCTACCCATTAATTTAAACAATGGTGTATTACATTTGTACTGAAAAGAATGACAATATATTTTAAAAAGGAGGAGAAATATTGAATAAAAATTCTGGCTTTGTAGAAATTAGAGGGATTAATCTTTCTTGGTTTTCCCATTTTCCAGTATGAACTCTGTCCATCCAGGAGATACAGAAAATGTCTGAGGTCTGCCTCTATAGGGAGCTTGCCATAGTTTCAGCACTTAGGTCTGAAATATTTAGGATTACAGAGGAAACCATAAAGCATGAGCTCTGTCTTCCTGTTTGTGTAACAACTCATAAGGCATTTCTGGCTGTAGTAGCTTCTCTTTATGAATGGACATCTTGAAAGCAGTATTTCTTCTGAGTAGTTTCATTCTGTAAAGGAGATAATAAAAGGTTCCAGTGTATTTTTCCTTGCTTTGGGCAGAGGACAGCAGGGGTTGACTTTGCTCTTTCTGTCTGCCTTTGGTTGAAGGTGATAATTGTGCCTGGACTTCCGTGTGCAGGCAGTGCCAAGATGCAGGATTATCTCCAGCTACAGGAGAAACAGGTGAGAATTGGTTTTCTAAAGCAGAAGATGGTTTTCCTTATTTTCTTTTAAAAATAATGAAAAGCTTCTGAGAGAGAAATGAGCCTTAAAAATTCTGGGGCAGAAAAGCCAGTTAACAGCATACATGTATGGTGTACAATGCTGATGGAACCTGCCTTGAATGAAAATAAATGCTGTGAATTAGGTCCTCTGGTTTAGATCAGCATTTTTGCTTTCTCTGTGTTTCTCACTAATCTCTCTTGCATATAATTTCTGAGGCCTAGAAATAGATATAACTTTAAAGTTGGGGCGAGGGGCTGGGCCAAAACTCTACAGGTTACATGTAACACAGAGTAGCTGGTGGGTTTCCTTACCATTAATGTCAACTGAAGTCCTTGAAGGTGGAGGTAACAAAAATGTCTGGTTTGTGAAGTACTTTAATTACCCACCCACTCATTCTCAAGGCAGTTCTCCTTGGCCATGGGAAGATCTTACTCCTGATTACTCCTAGTTACTCCTGGTTAAAGTTACCCATTTTGTAGCATTTACTTGACTGCATGTTTTTGCTACTCTTCAAACAAAACAGACATTTTATGACAAAGTAGAAACTTTGTGACAATATTTGTTTCGCCTTTTTTTTCTTTTCTCTTTTTCTTTTTTTAAACTATTACTTTAAAGATATTCTTCCCCCCCTTTTTTAGTTCCTGTCTCTGGTTCTCATATGGCTGCCTCTGCTTGCCAGCATTCTTTGAGCAGTTTTCTACCAACTGGAAAACAGAGGGATACAAGGAAAATTGATCTGCACCTAAAGCCAAAGGCTTTTCACACAGTCTCAAAAGAGCGGCCACACTCCTTAGTGGACCTTAAGGCCTATAAAGACACAAAAATTTTAGTGGCAAAATTTTTGGAACATTCAAACTGTAATCTCCCTCCAGAAGTGCGTCACGTAGTGAACAGCATACGGTCAGTCATTAAATCTGATGAGAGACACATGGAAGAAGCCATCTTCAGTGCCAATATCATAGACCAGGTAGGCCACTGATGTTCTAAAGATGTGTCCAGTTTCCATAGACAAATACCTTGTTTAAATGTTTTTACAGTTTAAGTTCTTCAGACAATTCTAACAGAAGCTCTTTTATAGTGACATGGCATTAGTAAGAAATAATTTGTATTTATTGGGCAGCACTACATTTTACACTGCAGTTCAGACAGAAAGCTTGGCTGTGCTCTCCAGGTGCCCAGTCCTGAGCCCTGACCAGCTGCAAGGACAGAAGCAGGAGGGATTCTGGAGGGCCGAACCCCCTTGGAAGAGTTTCAGTGTTAGACCGCTTAAATGAAATATTATTCACGGACTGAACCTTTTAAAAGAGAACTTCTCTTACCCCGTTTTCCCCGTTCTTCCCTCCTGCGCTGCTGCCCTTTCCCGCAGGTCATGACGAGCTCGCGGCGGGGCGCGGGCGGCTGCAGGAAGCGGCCGCAGGAGGATCTGCACCTGCGGAGCTGCGGCGCGCTGAGCTCCCCGCGCCGGGCCCCGCTCAGCCGCGCCGGCCGGCGGGAGCGGCCGCACAGCCTGATCGGAGTCTGCCGGGAAACCATCCTCTGACCGGGCCGCAGGTATGTCACGGCAGCAGAGAGAGGTGTGGAAGAAACCAGGACTGGCACAAGTGCAACTAGTGGATGACTTTAAAAGGAAAAAGTGTCTTCCTTTGGAATTCCACTTTTTTCCCCCCACAGCAGGATGAGAACAGCTGGTTTTCTGAATGTAAATTTCAGCCTTGATTTTTGCAAACTTTTAATTGATTTGTTAGTGAAGTCATAACAAATGTTTTCCCAACCAGAAATGCATTCATTCCACTGTACTTACAGAAATGCTACTGACGCTGCTCAGCATTTCTTGAAAACCATTGGAAACCCACCAGAGACTGGCTGTACAACTTAAAAGTTGTATTTATTTAATGTACCTCAAAGTGTTTTAACTATCGTCAGTGTTTTAATAAAAAACTATTTCTGGACTTTGCCTTTTCAGCAACTGATTTGGATACAGCCATAAAGGTGATTTATACACACATACAGTGCTGCTTCTAATCAATTTTTCCAGTGTCTTTCATTCCAGACTAACTGATCTGTCCAATTAAAACTGCTCCCCCCTCCCAGGGCTGCCCTTTTAAACTGCAGTACTTGCTGCAGTGTGGTTCATTCCTGCTCTCTTCTGAATGTTCAGCAGTTCAGTCCTGCAGTAGAGTGAGTGACTAAGAACTGATGTTTGATCCTCTGCAGCGTGTGACCAAAAGATGCATTAGGGAAGAAGACTGAAATTCTGCATTTCCAAAAAGCATCTTTCACAAACTTTTTACCAACAACAACTGATAGGAAGTTAGAGAAATTTTTATCTAGCAGAGCCTTGAATATTTTCAAAAAGAATTGTTACTGCAATTCATAGTTTTGACAATTTTATTACTAAAACGTGTTATTGTGGTTCTGCTGTGTTTATGGTTTATTTAACATTGATCTTTAAAAAAAATCAAAAAGTAAATATTGACACTGATTTCATTACCAGCATAAACACAGGTCTGCCAGCAACATCTTCCAGTGCAAGCTTCATCCTGGCTCTTTCAGAGGAAATTGGAAAGGCCTTAAAGAGAAGGTTCTCATAAAGAACCTACCACAGGTTGATGTTTCGGGATTTTATTTTTTTTTTGCAGCAGTGCTTGTCAGTAGCCTTAGTTTCCATTTGAGGTTTAATCATATACTGGTTTCATTTGTGTCTCTCTGAGCTGGGCAGACATCCTGTGAAAAGGTCACAAAGGAATGTAGCTGAAGATGGGTAGTTTAAGTTTTACAGATTCATCCATTTTAATGTATTTTAATTATAGCATGCTTCTGTATTGATGTGAAGTTACAGTGACATCCAGTGGCAACAAGGTATGCTAATTGAAAGCTTCTACTCTCAAGATCATAATGATACACAAATTCCTAATTCAAGAGAATATTTCCTTTAAAAAAAGAAATCTGTGACCTTTGCAACTGCACTTAGATGAAGAATTAAATAATCTACTTGGAATTTTTTACTATGTAAAGTTACACAACAAACAAAATAAGCAAGCTTCCTTTCTTATTTCAGATTTATTAGTGATAGGTTAATTCTTTCCTAAGGTCAGTTGCATGCAACACACTACTCCTTGAAGTACAGTCATCTAAAGCTCTTTAGTTACTGCATGGTAAGGCTTCTTAAGTCACAGTGTATTTTCTTCAAGGCCTTGGCCAAAAGAAAAAAAATAGACAAAGTTACACCAATTAACATTTATCTCATAAGGAATACAACTTTACTACTAGGTTTTTTATCTACACACATTCTAATACTGCTGATGGTGCTAGGTTATTTGTCAAAACAATTTACATTCAGAACACATTGCCTTAGGAATAAGAATGCTTTATAAAAGACAGAAACAGGTAAGCATGGCTTTCCCATTTTGAGCTATTATGAACAAAAAGGTAATATGCAAAAATTAAAGGAAAAAAAACCCCAGCCCAACACATACATTACACAACCTGTGCAATAAGTTATCCATGAAACAACTCTGTTAAATCATAAAAATCACAAGCATTAAAAATAAATATGTATCTAAATAAATATTTTGATTTTAATCTTGTGGCAATTATTCTTTATTTAGCATATGAAACACTTGTTACATGTTTATGTTCACACCTTGCCAAACAGGTTACACTTGTCATAACAATACCAAGTACTACAGTGGTTTTCTTTACAGTAGAATCTAAAAGTTTGAACTGCACACATTCCTTTCCACTGAAATACCATAGATTCAGCACCAGTTTTAAAATTATGCAAAGTCATCAGTATTGGACCACTTTATGGGACTGGGATTTTTTTTTAACTTGAGGCAGCCAGAACTTTCTCTAATTGCTTCTCTTTGCCATTTCCTGCAGTCTCATTCATCAAATATTCACATTCACTGTGTTATCAAACAAGACAGACATACATCACTCCACATAAAGGTTACAAATAAATATGTTTTAAGTTCTATGAGAAAAGAGTTTAGAAGATGTTCAAAATACTTAAATGTTTACAAAGATTTTTGTCAGTGATTATTGTCCTTGACCATCCTTCTCAACACTTTTTGTCAAAGAAATAGAAAGGAAGGAGAGAAAAGGCAGAGACACCTGTCTGTTCCTTGTTCTGGAGTCCTCAGGTCAGCTTCCAAGCCTTTCATTCATACAAAATACAAAATTCTCTTCAGTTATGACAGCTTCAGCTTGGATGGAAGATGTTAGATGTACAGGGGGGTCTCTTGACCTGTTAGGAGCCTGAACATGGCAGCTGGCATAGTCTTCATGTGAATCTGTCAATTGATTACACAGACATTAATAGAGTTTAAAATAATCTGGAGGGTCCCATCTGTCTCTCCCTGTGGTCAAAGTGCATTTTTTGTCCTGGCTTCTATAGATTTTTTCATAGAGTTTCTAGTTCCAAGTTCTCTGGTTTTAGGATGCTGGTTTGCTGTCTTTGCTTTTTTTTCATGATGGTTCGGGGTTTTTTGTTTAGTTTAGTTTTGTTTTTTAATTATTTATTAATGACAATTATATGATGTGACATCATATAGTTTTAGAAACCACCTAAACACTTTTTGTTGATACACCCTACTCCAATTACAGTAAAATTTACAGACCTTAAATAAGAAGTAGCACAAACCTCTCTGAAAATTCCTTCTGCTGTTCTGGTATTAATGGAACTTAGATTTGTATTCTATCTTCCTCTCTGTGGGAATGTCATTTCATATTTTCACTGAATTACACTATGATCCTCTGAACACAAAACTTGGACTTTGCCACCTGATGTTTAAATGCCAATCAAGAGTTTGGTGGAACAGTTTTTCCTATGGCTAATGTACTTCAATTCCTTCCTCAAGGAGTCCTGGGACTCCAGTCCCCAGTGCCAGAGGGATTTCACAGACTAGCAGAGTCCAAGGCTCAGGTAATCGGGTCTCCACCAGAACTGGACTTACAGCTCTAAGTACTTATTGGACAACACAAGAGGAAGGAAGGGAAACTTTACTAACTGATAATACAGACCCTCACCAGCTGCCTTGGTATCTTCTCTTCACGCTGTAAAGAAGAAAAGTTTCATGCTGTATTGCTATGTAAGGTGAGAAGTTACACAGCAAAGAAGGACCATGGAGGGGCTGTTGGAATCAGGAGCTTTGCTCCTGACAAAGTGCACATACTCTGTTATGGTTTGTCAGGTATCATTTTCCAGAAGGAAACCAGCTGTCTCTAATTTTTGTCAGAGGAACTAGTGGGAGATCTGGCCAGGGTTCTGTATTTAGACTACCATTAAACTCAGGAGGGATTTTGAAAAACTGGACAGTCTTGCTTATTCAGTGCTGATCTCTCTAGAAGTACTGTAGAGAGGTGTTAACTTATTTCCAAGGTAAGTTGGAAATGAAATTATTAAAATGTATATCAGTTTGCATCTCTCAGACATAGTAATTCATTTCTATGGCAGATGCTGTAGTGATAAGCCAAGAGACATCTTCACAGCCAACATCCCTGAGTGATTTCTTCCTTTAATCATTTGATTTAATTCAGACAGTAGGTTGAAGGTATAGAATTATGCCAGGAACTCTTAAAAATGAATAGAAAAATGTAGTGAATGTGCATCATTAGTTGTTAAAAAAAAAAAAGTCTCTTGTTTCTTATTAGAGCCAAGCTCCATTTACTGAATTGGTGACTTTAATGCTGTGTTGACACCCTTTTCAACTGAAACATACATTTTTTCAACTATTCTACTGCCTTGATAAAGACTTTGTTCCCTTACCTCTCCCACTGAGTTGGACAATGCTTGTACTATCTTCTCATGAGCCGTGGCCACGACGCTCTGCCCGTTGATCTCGATAATCCGGTGTCCCACTCTCACCCCTCCCCTCTCTGCTATTCCACCTCGCATCAAGCTGCAAATCTGCCAAGAGAAAGCAATGGTTACTGAGGTTTAGAAATATCATAATGCAGCACTCACTGGGATTTAATGCATAATAATGAGTGGTGACACTGTCAGGATTCCAGAAGATGCTTGTTGAAAGTATTAATCAATGAGTTTTTAAATGTTATTTTAGTGGTTTGTTAGAGGGAGTTTTTTTTCTGAGATTTCTGCCTATTTTCATTTTCAGTCTCTGACTGGGAACATAAAAATACCTTTCACAGTGGTACATGTTGTAGCCACACAAAAGTGGAGACAGGGACGAGGGATTTATGCACTGCTGGGACACAACTTCCTGTGCCCCTGCAGGAGAGGAGGGAGCTCTGCTCGCCAGGGACACAGCTTCCCTCTGCACTGTTCACTGTTCACTGCTGGCCACAGGGAGCTCAGGATGAAGGAGGCAAGTTAGGCCATTCTTTATCTGGCAGCTGAGGTTCCAGTAAAGAACTAGGCACAAGTTCTGAATGTTATGACCCCTACAACTGGGTAATAATTCTACAAGAAGAATTACATTCAGCAGACACAGTCCCAGCAGACATTGCTACCTAAAGTATTCTGAGGTTGCATAGAGTCAGGCAGCAAGAGAAATCTCAATCCAGTGTGGGGTTGAGAATGTTTCCTCCTTAGCAACAGTATCTATGCTGCAAGGGGATCCACCCTGGCAGACTGGACTGCTGTGCATTAGATAGAAATTGCTGGCAAATTATTTCAAATTACTAAATCCATGAATCACACAAGGCAGATAATGTACAGCTCGAATCTCTGGAACTAAGCAGACTTTAGCAGCATTGGGATTTACCTTTTGTTTACTGAGAAAAACCAATTCTTGGAGGAAAAGAAATGAGTGCTGGAGCATCTGCATTGCCTGTTGCTGCAGTTACTGTCAATGGTTAGAATGATATGCCAAGAATCATTATTTGCTGCGATCTGGTCATGTGTTCAGAGCTGAATACAAGTATGGTAAGATGGGCTTGTGCCCCAGTGAGTTTGTTATCTAATTTAGAAGCACAGTATGTGGGGAGAAGGCCAGTCTGGAATGTGTTGAAGGTAGAACATTGTTTATGGTTGACTGGAATCTTTTCCTGTATGGCACTAGCAGCTTCCTTTAAACTCCTCTCCACAAATAACAATGCTATAAAAAAAGAAATCCCTTCTCACTTGAAGTTCAGACTGTTTGATGTGAGGAGTGAGAATATAGTGTTATTCTTTGCTTATAAAAGGCCTTTCTCAGCCTTCAGAAAAAAAAAAAAAAACCCAACCAAAACCAAAAACCCAACACGTTCCTCCTGCAGTGAGATTTATCTTCCACCATGCTCTCTCCAGTGGCTGAGTGTTACCTCCTGTAGTCCTTAAAGTATTTCTGGTGGGCTTCAATGCAAAGAAGCACTATCAGACACAGAATTGTGTCTTGAATTTCAGTCACAAACAATGTATTTTTTTGCAGGTAGTCTACCTTCTAATCACACAGCTCACAAGATAAGCTCTATTACACAGATCTCTTTTACAGAAAGCTTCTCAATTCAACTCACTGTTAGAATGTTTGCTCCTTGTTGTTGGGGAGCAGTAATCAGGAAGAACAAAAAGCAGCATGATGTACCAAAAGAAGCCCTGTAAATATATTTTTCGTGGTGTAAAGGAAAATAGAGAGACAGTACAGCTGAAATAAAAGCTTTTGGAGCAAACGGAAATGTGATCCCTCACCCCACCGGCATAAAGGAAAAGATAATGGCTTGCATATCTATCCAGAGCCCCTTTCACTGCCTGGCTCTCAAAGCACTTTTAGCACTTTTAATACCATCAGCAAGTTTTTTTCTCTCTAACAGCCCCAGACATAGAAAGTGGTCTCTTCATTCAGGAATCCCTCTCCAGGGGAGGCAGGCAGCTTCCTTTTGTCAGCGTTAAGTGTTTTAATGAGGTAGAAAGAGAAGCAGACACAGAGGCTGAGTGGCTCTGCCCAGGCTCCCAGACTCTGCTAAGCCAGAGACAGAACACACAGAGAAAAAACATATTCTGCATTTACAGCACACATTTAGTGACTCCTGTATTTGCAAGGGCTGACTCAAGACAGCCTTAAGAGTTTTGTCTCCAGCCAGGAGAGCTATGACAGCTGAAGCTGGCGAGTTTAAACTGAGCAGTATCTCTAAGTAAATATGATTTTATTCAGCCAGGACTCTTTAACCTGTTGTATTTGTTGAACATGGCAACAGGTATAATATCAGATAAAGCAAGACACATCTGCTTCTTGTAAGCAAGTGTCTATATTCTCTTGACTCTGCAAACTGAAGGGGAAGAAGAAAAAAAAAAGGTGTAAACTACACTGGTTGAATCCACTCAGCTGTGACAGGTTTGCAGTGCCTTGGACAAGCTGCAGCACATCAGATGTGAAACTTCAGTAGCTTCACAATCAGTTTTATTGCAACTGTCCATAGAGTAGCAAAGCATTAGGACAAAATAGCACCAGACAAACTATTCTGTGTAAATGCCTCAATCATAACCTATTAAAATGAAATTTCTCCTCATCTCACTTTTATATTACACTGTTGAAACCCTGTAAATTTTACAAGTTTAAATGACAGTAAACAAAGTCAGGGAAGAAAGAATAACATGTTCTGTAAAGTTTCACTGTATTTTTAGACAGCTTGTGCTAGGCTAGTGATAGGGTAGATAGAGTTTTCAGAGAAACTGAGATCTAGACTGAGAAGTGGTGTTTTATCAGCAGTGAGAATATCTGGTAATAGATTTTTTTCACAATCAAGAAAAAAAAAGTGATATACAAGGATCAAATCTAGAAGACAATAATGTGATACATAAGGATCACTTGTATTTAAATAACGTCATTTTAAAAGAACTGTAGCATAAGGACTTTCAGAAGGTGGCTGACAGGTCACCTAATGCTCACCTCCCCATCACACAACACTCATAGTGTGTGTGCACAACATCCTTTTTTCAGCTGCAGCAGTGCAGTGGCTGCATCTGCCTGACACCCTGTGCAGGCAAAGCCAGCTCAGATGGGGCTTCTGGCCTGAAGCTGTTCTGTGTGTTTGTGGGCTATTCCCACTACAATGGCTGTGCATCCTGCACAGATGAGATAGGCAGGCTGAAAGGGAAACACTGCAAAGCTGCTATCAGAGGAGGCACAGAAATAAGTTCCAGCTGCATGGATAATGAGGTAATGGCCTACCAGAAAGAGACATTTAATTATATCTGTTCTGACAAGCCATTTATTTCTTTGCTGTGCTAATGCTGAGCCAACAAAGAATAACAACATTACTTCTGGATCCGGTCATAATTTGTAACAATTGCTGGCAATTACAAAAGTACTTTTAAAGAGTACGGTTTCAAACTACCAGAGAGATATATTTTGCAGTCATATTTACAAATGTTGAAAGAGTTTTTCAGAGGAAAGGATTTTACAGGCCCAGAGGTTTGTCTCCATAGCAGCCTAACAAAAGATATTACTCTCATCTCTTTGTTCACTGGCTTTCATATTCAAACAGACTTTTCATAAATGAAATGCACTGCAAGGATTTTTTTTTCCTATATGAAAAGGATTTTTTTTGCTGCATTTGGTGAACTTTACATTTGATGTCAATACATTTGAATGTTGCTCATTTAACTGGAAGGAATGATGATCTGCCAGTGTGGTGACAAATGGCCAGTAGATGGAGGGAGCGCACTGTGACAGAAAACAAGCAGAGCCTGCAGAATTTACTAAACTGAGGCTCCAATCATGTAGGAGATAATTAGCAGGGACAAGATGAATAGATTGTCACAGACTCCCTGTCCATGTAAGGGCATGGGATGTTCCTAACCCACCTCGGCGTGATTCATTTCCCCAGCCCCGATCCACCCCCACCAATGCTGTGAATGCACTCCTGAAAACTTGATAATCACACTACAGTGATGCTTACAGGTCCTTAAATGTATTCCCTCGTTTGGTCACAGCACCAGAGCAACATACAAAATTTACAAAGGCGAGAAATTAGGAATGAGATCAGTGCCTCAAAGAGGGCACCCTCTGTGAGATCAGGTGAAACCAGATCCTGGGGAAGGAACCTCTTTAGAGTGCATCCTGCTGGACCAGGGCATGCTGCAGTGTCCTCTATATGTAATCTCAGGCAGGAACGTTTTAAACTTGGTGGAGCAGGAACTGAGAGATGGCCAGGAGAGCTGCAAACCCACTCCAGAGCCATCTGTTGGCTGAAGTGCAGGAAGGCTCATGAGCCACATCTTACAGTCACCTGCTCTCTTCCAGCTCCCAAAGGGTGCAAACAGAGATCTGGCAACTTCAATCAAAGCATTTCACAGGACAGGGGACAGAGCCCACAGCCTTTGTGATGTGGTTTTTTGTGTGAGCAGCCTGATTATTTTTTTTTCCTAGACTGGAGGAAGAGGAAATGATGATGGTCCTGCACTACAGCCAGTCTCTAATGCTAGTGTCAGCCCCCAGAAGGGCCAGTGACTACCTGGGTTAGGTGTGTGAGGAGTTTGCTTTGGAAAGGTGTCAGGGAACAGCTTGGGAAGGAAGAACTGAGAGAGGAGGACCCTGAGCTGCCTGGGGTAAGTGTTCACTGCCACATTTGTTCTCCTCTTTGCTGCTGCTGTTACAGGGCAGCTGCAGCACACAGAGGAAGGGTACCTGGGCCACAACTTATACAATTACTTTGTAATGAGAGGTTACCTTTTATAAGAGTTTAGTTTTAATAATAGGAGGTCACACTTACATTCCCATGCCTACTACCATGTGATCTACGTAAATTATGCACAGCAGAAGAAAAATTAAAAGTCTTAGTGAGTGTGTAATGAAATTTTAAAAAGAGAAACAGAATCAGATCTAAGATTGAAGTGCTGTAATTGTAAAAACCTTTTTCAGCATAACGCTTCCTTACAACTCTGGCACTAATGACAGTTTTACATTATCAGGCTATTGCACCAAATAATCTGGGCTATAAATCTTGTTTTATTATGTAGGAAAATCCCTCAAGAATTTCTCCCAGTGTCATCCATTTGCATTATATTACTCAGAGACTGTAAGGTTTTAGTAAACAGTAGAAAAAGTGAGGTCATGCAAGATTCTTTCAGTACTTCCATACGTTTTTTGAAAAAGAAAAGGCAAAAAAGTAAAGGGAAAAACCCCAAAACAATCAAAGAACGCAGAAACTTACAATTCCATTCTGTACACTGAAGCCCAGCTGGTATTTTAAGTCTGGCCGTTTTATGAGGACAGTAGTAACAGGAGGGCAGCTGACAATGTTCAGTTTGACTTGTGTCTGATTCTTGAGTCCCTGTAAGATATTCCAAAAGTCAGTATTTCTGAAATGAATCTTACTGTGCCCTCATCTGTGATTTCCTTACTGCAAGAGCATTTAGCAGCTGATCTGAGAAAGACCAGTGAGAGTTAACAGAAATTGATTAACTTAGAGATACATTTATCTTATTTATTTTCCAAGATATTTGGCTCAACAAAACATTAAAATTTTGCCTGTAAGTACTACAGAAATTTAAACAAATCTTCCAATAAAAACCAAAACTGCCTACTGCTTGCTCTTCCCAGCATCTTAATTAATGTCCTGCTTCTGCTGCTCTTGGTAAATCTGCAGAGACATTGGATTTAGTCCCCATGACTAAAGATAATGCATTCTGGGATTCCATCATGTCTGCAGATTGTTCATCTGCTCACTTGACTGTCCTGCAATCTACCAGCCTCCATCCATTTTATCTGCATGGAACCTAAAAATGCACAGGAGATTCTAATCTTCAGATTTTATGCTGGAGGCTGTGAGGAAGCTTAAAACTTTGAGACAGCTGAGTAACTTAATTTAGGTAAGTTTTACAGACCTGGCCTCATTTGTTATAGCCCAGTAACAAAACTGCAGTCATGTTCTCCAGCCCTAAATTTCATTATCACTCCTGTGCATTATCACTCCTGAATCTCTAATTCTGCTTTTTGTTAATGAGAGATTACTGGGTTTTTTTTGCAGTGATATGAAAAATTGTGTCTGCTGAAAATCTACAGGATCACTTGTCAGAAGATTGCATCTCTGTTGGCCTATGATCTACAGCATAGAGTTGTAAGTTTGGGGTACCTTTATGATCCCTTGGCATGTTGCAAGAGGTAGACCAACTAAACTGGTACCATTAATGGACATAATTTGGTCTCCAATGCTCAGTTTTCCTGAACGTGCTGCAGGGCCTCCATTCATCATGTTGGCCAGGATAACGGTGGGTAGAATGGATCCCCATCCAGATTCCACAATCACCACCCCAAGAATTTCTCCTTTCTGTTTTTCTAGCTGGAGCTGCAATTAAAAAGGAAAAACATTTTTTTTGCTTTGATTTGTCTGACTTTGAGCATGAGTATCTCACTTGTTCCCAAATAACATCTACAAATCACAAACCAAATTTTATTCTTTGCCATTAGGTAGTAGCATGACTTCATGTTAACTGTGGAACACACAGCTCTTTGTTTTCAGGGGCATCCTCCACTTGTTTGTAGAAGGTCATAGAAGATTAATAAGCAAAGCACTTACACATGGTTAACTCTGTAGGAAGTGGTGGAACTGGATGCCAAGGGATGAATGCTAAGGAAGTTTCTGTCCATGGAACATGGCAGCCAGAGGGGGAGGCTCTAATTTTGTGGCTAAGGCAGTGCCTGCAAGCCAGGCTTTGTTCAGCTCCACTTCTGCCACTACTGCTCAGGTTGTATCTTGATCTCAGGGCTTGTCTGTCCTTCTTTTCAGACAAGGATCTCATGATGATGACGATTATTATTATTATTATTATTATAATTATTATTTTGTTAATTATTGAATATACTCGTGCCTAGCATGTTCATGTAAGATCCCTGATGTACTGTAAAGGATGCCTTCTCCTGAACTGTCAGTAACCACAGCACAGCTAACACCTATAAAGTGGAGCAAGAGTTTAAGCAGAGAACATGCTCTTGAAGCAAATATAGGGAATTATTTTCTCTCAAACGTGGAAGGACAGGGAATGCTGATGGCCAGCTGACTTCTGCTGAGGTTATCTATTGCAGAAAACTACAACTCTGTCAGCTCTTCCTGTGTCAGTACTTAGGTGAAATATAAAATCACCTTACACTGTGTACTGTAAATAGCACAGAGCTTACCTAGCTCAGATGTAAATGTACTTTATTACTGTTCTGATCAATGGAAACAGAAAGACCCTGAACATGAAAACAAGAAATCCTAATAACCCATAAAGCTGGTTTTAGTACATGGAACTGATGAAGGACACATCTTGAAATTGCATTATCATCCTTATAAGTGTCAAAAAATATTTCTGAGAATATTTCTTTTACTCTGAAAAAAAAAAAAAAAGGATCAATCTGAAATGAAAATCCAAAACTAGTTTACCTCTTTGCAGTTTTCTGAATTGGAGAAGTGTATGAGATCATCATTGTACATCTCTTGGGTATTGATGATGTCACTGTATTCTTTCTGACTGAGGTCCTCTGGGTTAATTCCATTGGCTCTTAAAAACTCTTGGTAAGCCACACTGAAAGCCTGACCAATTGACTGAGCTATGAGCTGTGCCTAAAATGTAGAAAAAAGCAGTTCAGAGGAAGGACAGACCAACAGTTTAGCAATGAAACCACGAGAAACCAGGAGAGAGATTGGATTTTAAGACAGAATCAAAATAAGCATCCTGCAAAGTTTCTGCATTAGCATGGATGTAAAGTCACTTTAAGGTCTGCTGTACAGAAAGAACCCATTACATCCAAAATCAAATTGCAAGCTCCATTAAAATGCCCTGCTGCTCTCCCCTCCTCAGTACACTGCAGCAGCAAGCAGCCATATGCTGCTGAGTACCCGTGCCAGTGACCTCTGGAGAGGGCTGGCCCCAGACCAGCACGGAGCAGAGCTGGTGGAAGGGTGCCACGAGCCCTGCCCCTGAACACAGTCAGCCTGCAGGGCTGCGGGGAGGATGGAGGCTCTGCTGGCACATGCCTGCACAGACGTGTGTGCACTGATGGTTCTGGTTGTGGTGTCACCTGCTGCTCCTCCACCCTGGCTTTCCAGGACTGAAAACACTGCTTCAACACAGCCATCTGCTCCCCTGTTACTGCCACGATGCCTGTTCCACATTCCCAGCAAACCAGGAACACCCCTGCTTACCCACTGCACATCTAGGACAGCTATTCCCATTAACACCAGCAATGTCAGGGATCATTTCAGGAATGCAGCCAGAGCCACCATTAAAGCTTGCTAATGCTGAGAACACCCATTCAAAAGCCCCTGACTTTCTTAAATTTTGGAGCACTTATCTGCACATTCCACTAGATGGCAAGGGAACACAGAGAAACAGAGATCAGTAAAAGGAATGTGCAGTCACTTTTTCTACATTTGAATTATTTTTTCCTTACTCTGGGTTTACTGCAGCTCATAGGAGAATGCCGTGTTGAGTTTTGTATATTTGTGGGTCACCACTTGTGGGGTCATTGGGGCATATGAGTAACTCCTGATGATATAAGACGTTAATTGCACCTTACACATCCTAAAAATATTACTAATCAAACCTGTATTCTGGAAATGCAACACAGATTCCTAGACAGGACATTTTAAAAGCATTTCAAATGCATGGGGTTTTCTGGACATTATAAGTCTGTATCTTCTTATAATCTACTGATCAAGTGTTTTCTTTGATGCTAAAAGGTTGTTTCTGTATTTAATTTGTCCTGCTGTACACAAAAGCACCAATCTGCTTGACTGGAAATGATTTTAGAAAATCAAGGCCATCAGTGACAAATTGTTTCTTCATATTTTAAAACATATTTTCAAGTCTTCGCTCCATACCAAGAGGTTTGTACAGAATCACACAAAATGCTGAGTTGGAAGGGACTCATCAAGATCATCAAGTCCAACTCCTGGCCCTACACAGGACACCCCCAAAATTCCACCCTGTGCACCTGAGAGCATTGTCCAAATGCTTCTTGAGCTGGGTCAGGCTTGGTGCTATGACCACTGCCCTGGAAGTTTGGTAGTACAGCAGTCACTCGGGACATTTTCATAGCATTCCATTATTAAAGTTCATCACTCATTATTGAGTCCCTCTGATCTCCATTGCCACTGCTTTCTCTGAAGTTCATCCTCTGCTTTTGCCTTCATTCTGCATTCCCAAAGCCAACATCTCTAGACGTCATGTTCTATTGCTGCCAGTAACAGCCAGTTCCTACCTCTTAATTTCATCTCAATCTCTGAGGCCTTATGAATGTTTATGAAAGCATTATGCACAACTTAGAGATAATGTAATTAAATTGCTTGAAAAGGTCACCCAAGCAAAGCTGTGACAGAGCTGGGCTAACTGGGTCTCAGAACAACCCCAGTCTAGCACTCTAACCTTTAGACAATGCCATTTCTCCTTCACAGGCTTAATTGCTTTAAAATAATGAAAATAGATTGCTTAGCTCAAAATATATGCAACCTCTGAGTTATGACTGACCCAAAGAACTCCATTATTTTTTAATTGGTATTATATGTAAATATATACCTAGAAATTCTATCTATAGCTGTTCCTATAATAACAGTGATGAAAAATACTTAGTACTGCCTCTTACTGTCAAGTTAGAAACAGACAACAAATTTTGCTTTTTCTGTTTTACTGGATTGGTATATTTTTCCATAAATGTTTTAGGTTGAAGTCCCTTCTCTGCCACTTCAGACAAGTACCTAATTCACTACAATCCCAAACCTGGATATACAACAGCAGTAAAGCAAGGTTATCTTCTTTTGTCACAAGAGGTATGGACCAGCACTTTTCACAACAGGATGTACAGCAGAGATGGACAGAACTCTATGATTCCACATAAAAATTCTAATTCGTAATCTTTGCTAGGGATGAAAAAAGAGAACTGAAAAATAAACAGCTGAATGTGCTCCTAAACACCAAAGGATCAAGTGGCATGTTTGAGAGTACATACAACTACAGTTCAGTAGCCTCAGGGAACCAGGACTGGGTAGAGGGCAGCCTTGTGCAGCCCTGCCAAGGCACTAGAAGCAACTTGGCTTCAGTCAAGAAGAGGTCCAGAATGGTTGCATCTCATTCCAAGTGCCTGGAGGCACATATGTGTCATTTTCTGCCAACCCACTGGACTAAAGGATATAATCCAGGATGAAGGATCAATTTCATATCCCACAGGTTCATTTTGCCCATGAATGGCCATTGACTTCAGAGCTCTCTCCATGACCTGTGCTGTTTAAATAAATTGATCCCATTTACTTACATCCTCTGATTCAAAGACGTGGCAGATCATTTTGTACTGCTTCTTGCCCTCCTGGGCCCCAGGAGTGGTTTCAATGCAGTCCTGGGAGGCGGATCTGGGCATGCGGCGCCGCGCCATCAGCACCACGATGTTCCCGATGTCGGCGATGTAGGAGATGGTGCGCAGCGCGTGGTCCATCATTGTTTCCTGCACACAGCAAGGACAAACAAAGCAGTTCTCCATGCCTGCTGCTCTCCTGCAAATACTGCATCTGCCCTCTCCTTGACAGCCTGCTGCTTGAGAAACACAAAGGCTACAGAAACCTTTCCTGTGGGCCCAGACCAGATATTCCCCCTGCAGTCAAAGGGAAGCAGAGCAGCTGTCCAAGACATTGGCTTCAATGGAAGCGTTGCCTGAGCAAATACAGCATGGTTGTTACTGTAAAACAAGAATGAAGAGCTCTGCTACTGTTTTACATTGTTTTTCATGCTGTTGGAAAATTATGTTATTTCTTTACATATTTTGCTGTTGTTAGGATGAACTGTACTTAAGGAAATAGAAAGGGCACATCTGAAATCTGCTCCTGGCTGGGGTCACTGATCAGTTTGGAGAGTTTTTCCAGGTTTTTTCTATTGCTCAAACTAGAAACAACCAGAAGCATAATAGTTGTACTGATCAAACTAGTTGAGGATGTGTCCTGACCACTCCTGTCCCTCACCCTGAACAGCTAAAAGCATCCACAATATTCCATCTTAATTGGAACAAAAAAAAAGTGGTACAAGATAATTCACAATTTTTTAATAATTTATATAAGCAGCAGTGTTCTTTATGTAAACAGCTTGGCACTAGTTTACCATTAGTTGAACAATTTTCTAAGGCCTAAGGAAGAAGGATTGTGCTTCAAGTCAACAAAAGTAATTGTTTTAAGACTTTCAGTACAATTTAACTTGACAGGCAAAACTACAAATTATTATTGTTTCTTAGAACCACTTGTCTTGCTGAAGATAATCACTACCCACAAAATTATTGTAATGATTCTTCTCAGGCTTGAAATAATGCTTATCCCTAACCTATGAAAAGTAGTGATGGTTAAGAGGTGGTTTGGGGAGTGTCTCTAAGAGCTGCAGGGGCTCAGGAGGATTTACAGCACTTCTGTCAGAATGGAGAAATGTTTTATAATGGACGTGTCTCAGCAGGATGCTGGGAGCTCTGCAGAGATAAGAGATAATTGCTTTTCAGCAGTGTGCACCAAGTATTGTGTAAGGGTGTAATCATACGTGCAGTGTGCACAAGAGTGAATGCATTGGGGAAATTAAGGCATTTCATCTCACCTGCCAAGAAAGCTTTCTGCCCATATCATCACACAGAGTTTACTTAAATGGTTTGAGTTTTTTTTATTTTCCCTTTGTAGGGGTGAAAGCAATCATTCCTCCATCCCTCCCACATTTTTCCTGTTAAGAGGAAGGCAAATACTATCTAGTGACTCTACACATGAGTTTACTTTTAACTTACTTTTGACTTGACTTTGTCTCTCCATATTCCATTGTACTCAATTTTCCATTTCCATTACCAACATCTCTTTTTCAACCCTCTCCCATAAATCCCTCCATCTCTGCCTATTTGCCTCTCTGTCCTTTCCCTTATCCCTTTTTGAGTCCCATCCATTCTACTCTTGTTGTCCTTATATTTGTCCTTAGAAATTCAGCCTCTCTCATGCTTTTCTGAAGCCATTGTTCTCTTCTCCTGTCTAGATTTCCCTTTCTCAGATTGTCCCTTCCTTCCCATGGAATTCTTTCAGAATCTTTTTTGTTGCTTCTCTTGAAACCTAAAGAACAGCTGAAGGAAAAAACCTCAGCATTCCTCCAGGCTTTAAAGTGCTGTAGTCCTGTGGGAGTGTGAATACAGCCTAATGAGTCAGGCGATTTTGTGGAGTTGATCATGCACCAGAGGCTCTGCACATACACATTTGTGAGCTCTACATCTTTATTTTTCTTTCTTCATTTCCCCAGTTGCTCCACTCCCAGCTTCTCTTCACTGACTGAGCAAGAAGCTGGGAGAAGCTGCTGTGGCTTCTGCTGGTTTGGGGCACTGAATGCAACCCCACAAAGCTGTGGCAGAGGAACAATTCCTGTCCTATCAACAAGGCATGTGGCCAAACACAAGGCTGCTCCTGCTTCATCCCTACTAAGCAGGTGCTCGATGGCTGAATGTATTCAGCAACCAAATGCATGAGCACCCAGGAAGAGGCAGGGGTGCCATTTCCTAGTGCTGTTCAGGGCAACAGAATCACCACTGCTGGCTCTCTTCCAGCCTGGGAATGCACCTGACTGGTGCTGCTCAGCATTTTGAACCTTGCTGCATGTCATTTTCTGAATGGGATTGTTACATTTTCATTCAGCTGTTGCCTCACGTGAGCTACACAACACTACAGATGGATTAAAACACATGGCATACTGCAGAAACAGGGTTTATGTAATTGATAAAGCCATGAAAGTACAGATTGTCTCTGCCAGCTGCCACCCCAGCTGAAATAGACCCATGGTAATTATACCAGCCAGGAACTTCACTAGCACTGAAAAGTGTTACCAAGCCAAAAATGCTAAAAAGTCATGGGAATAATTCTGTTATAGCTCTCTGAAAGACACACTGTTAAAAAAAAAAAAAATAAAAACCAACCAAATAAACAAACAAAAACACAACCAAAACCCCAGGGCAAACACTAGAGAGCTTGGAATTAGAACAATTTCCACTACTACTATTTTCATCTGGTTGAACAGCTCAGATATTAGGCACCACTCATGATGGAGCATTGCATTTTATATCACTACAAATCTCAGGGGATCAGAAGACTAAGATGCCAGTTCCTTTGACAGTGTTTGTGGGCTACTTCAAAGGACCTTCCCTTTTTATTTTTGAAACCATTGGTCTTCAGCTGAAATGCTGAACTATTTAAAGAAGTAAGAAGAGTGACTTCCACTAAGACTAATCTTTACTCCACAAAGACACTGTAGCTGGTAACTGCCATACATTCCAGCTATAAACTGGAGCTGTTCATTTATCAGTAACTGTCTGTAGTTATCTTTGCACTGATAATTATGAGCATGTTATTTTCTGCTAATGCAAAAAGCAGTTATCAGCTTTGATAATATAATCTCTGGATGATGCATGTTTACCATGAGGTCAAGAAAAGGCTGAGCCACAACTGACAGTGGTACTGCTTATGGTGGATAAAGTGCCGTTTCAGGATGATTTATGGGCAGGTTGTAAATATTGCTGCCCATGTTAGATGGACTATTCCACTCATCTAGCTCATCTCATGGGAGTTCTAGTGGCGTGTTAAGGACATGTGCTTATATTAAAAGAAAAATAATCAATTTCCTGGAGATACTATCATTACCCTCACATTAAAGGATAGTAATGCTCTCCTAAATTTTAGGAAGAAGAAGGTGCTTCATACTTTCCATTGTTAGAAAACCAATTATAATTAAAACCAAACCCCTAAATTTAGAGGGCTATATTTATCTTTGTTGAAGTGTCTCCTACAATTTCAGCTCATTTCTTCTTTAGCTGTATTTCTGAACTCTCATCTGATACACCAAGTTACAAGTTCAATAACCATTTTCTCTTTCTATTTTCCAATTTGTTAATGAAAATACTGAACAGTACTACATTAGAGAAACATGCTTGCGGGTCTCACTCTGCCCTTTTTCTCCTTACATTGCCACATAAATGGCAATATATCAGACATAACTACACTCTGAAATTTTTATAAGCCTACTTCTATCTCTAGATATATATCTAAACCATATAATCTTGAAAATATTATATGATATTAAAGCATTATTTAAGAAAAGAGATGACATGTGCTGCTTCTGTGCCATGGACAAATATATGCCCTAAACAAAAGAAAACTTGACTTAACATGATTTACTTCTGACAAAACATTGGTAAAATTGTCCTTTTCAATGCCTCTCATAAGAATGAAAATTTGAAGACTTCCTGTAAGTATGATCAAAGTGATGAGATCTTGTGAGATTATTAAATATTGGGATCCATGTATAAATTATATGTATTTGTTGCAAATTCCTCAAAACCTCCTTTTTATGAAGATCACCTCTTGTTGAATATATAAGCATTCCTAGAAGATGAGGCTGATCATTGCTGTGGTGTCCAAATGCTGCTTTTATATGAATGATTAATAATTTACCTTAGGCAAGAGGATGGTGGCTCAGATGTGATTTATGGAAAAAAATTGAGATTAAATGTTACAAATGGCAGGATATGAATGGCTTAGTCAAACCAGCAAATGACTTCCCTATTGGACTGTAAATCTGGCTTCTGAAGCTGTTCCAGAGGAGTGGTGTACATACATTCTGCAAGGCTTTTGAATCTTTTTTTGAATTGAGTTGAATTATATCTCAATTATAGCAACATCCAGACATCTTCCAATACATCAATAAAGCAAAACAGGTGCCAGTCTTACTATGCTGGCAAGTGTTAGAACAATTGTAACTCTTTCTGAATACTCTGAATACCTGAATTTATCCAGGTTCAATAAAGTGTCCCACTAATTGTGTAAGAGCTCAGTCTAAATCAACATTATTCTCCAAGAGTTTAAATCTAACTTACCTGTGTGTCTGCATTTAGAACTTTGATTCTCTGTGTGGAGATGAACAGATCCACCTCAGTCAAGGCCTGGGAATCTCCCTCTGAGGTCTAAAAGACAGATGATGTTTTACAAGGGAATTTTTAATTTTCAGAATGACAAATTCACTGACTGCTTCAAGCATAATGTGATGCGAGACAGCTGCACTTTAAACCATACAGAGCTGGCTATTCAAAGGTGTTTCTAAAGACATGCAAAGAATACATTTATTGCATAGACAGTGAAGCCTACTCTGATCTTCCGGCTAAGAGGGAATTTTTGGAGCCTGTTGGATTGACAGCTCAAGTATTAAAATTCTCTATTTATAGCCAAAACAGGTGAAAAAGTATGGCTGGTTTTTCCTCACTTTCTCACTGATGCACTTCAGTACTTGAGGCACCAGACTTGAGAAAGTAGAACTGAGAAGGTGACTTAGTTTCCATCAGCTGTTTAGCCCTTGCCACCTTCAGTGAGCTCACAAAAAAAAAGTGCAAACTGATGCTCAGTACTGTGGTGGGGTTTAAGATTTTTTTTTAGCTTTTTGGGTTTTTTCTGGAAAATAAAGAACGGAGCACAGAACTAATGTTTCTCTGATATCACAGAAGGGCTTTTAGACCACAGCTTCTTCTGAGCACTGCTCACTAGGGAAACACTTCCATACACCATCAGAGGGCATGGTCACAGGGCAAGAGGGATTACAATGCAATGCCACACTCCAGTCAGTCCTGCCTCTGTCCACTTGAGGAAACAGGAGAAGAGGGGGCAAAGCAGCTGCTACCTCTCACTGAAGCATTGTCCAAGAGCCTCCCTAATTCTCTGATCCAGCAGGAACATATGGATTCTTCCAGACTGCTTGGGCACAGGGACAACTGCAGCTGGTATTGAGCAGCACCCATGGCAGTGGCCTCAGAATAAAATGGCCACAGATTGTCTCAGTCTGGGCTAAAGGCAGGCACCATTCTCCAGGTCAGACACTGGCTCATGACGAGAATTATGCATTTGCTAATCCTTTTTGGAGTTATAAAGGGCTTAGCTATGCCTATAATTCATTTAGATTAATTTTATTCAAATTATCTTCCAGCAAAACACAAAGCAAGCACATACTTTGGCAGACACTACTTGTACTGCTTCCATCCTTAGGCTGATATTTTTGTCATCTGTATTCAGTTATTTGAAGTATTGTTTTTAACTGAGTGCAATGTTTCCTGTATGAATTGCTCCAGCTACTATGTGGTGAATTTATTTTGGTTTTAAGTATCAACAAGAACTTAATAAATATACAGTAATCACAGGCACAGGAAGTACGTGTTACTGCTTTGGTTAGTAAAATCAAAATAAGCATTACATTCAAAAACATCTCCCAGATAACAATGGCTGTACATCTGGAGCAAACAAATCACAGGTATTCAACAAGAGAAGGGCAGCAGACAGGCACTCCAGCAAATGAACAATGAAGAAAATGAGTTCATTTTAATCCATTCACTATTCTACTGCAGACCAAAGAAGAAACCAAAATGACAACTTTTTGAGGATCTGTAATGAAAGACATGACACTCTATGGAAAACAAGGACAACAAAAATGTAGGTAAACATTAGCATTCAAGAAAAACAGTTTACACACCGCTTTTTTCTTGATTTTAGCCGCCTTTTGCATCCTCTGAGGAGTAGCATAAAAAAAAAAGAATGCAGACAGATGTACACAAAGGGAAAGAGAAAATACAGTGTGGGAAGTCAGGGAAACTTTGACTGTGAATCCAGACTGCTGAAAATTAAAAAAACTGGGAGCAGTGGGGGAATGATGTGCAAGAAAGATTTGTTTATATCTTATGCAGTTCTGAAGCATAATTGGATTTCATGGCATTGTGCACATTCACAATTGATTACAAAAGAATTGGTACCAAAGTGTTGTCTGTTATCAGCTGCTCCCAACACTTATCCTGCCAAATTTACAGCAGTCAAAAATGGCAGCACATGCATCTTAAACCCAAGTTTTTATCGCCATGTTAATCACACATCTACATGTAACTCTTGAACAAAATACAGCTCAAGCCCCCTGCTATGACTGTCTACAGTAGTCAGGTACCCCTGACAGATTGGGGTTGGTATTAATACATACAACAGTTTTTAGGGAGTTAATTGCAATCAACAATTACTTACTGTAGCTTGAGATATCACAATATGCTAAATAGAAACAGAAAGGTTTGGAAAGTTTAAGGAACTGGACCTTTCTTGCATTCCACTTCTTTCTAAATGCTAAATCAATCATCAGTCATGACAATCTCTTGTAAGTGGCCTTTCCAAACTTGTTTCTTTCAAAACCATGCAAATTTTAGCAATTAAATACTTCATTGACTATGCACATACTTTTTCTCCTAGCATTTAAATCTGCCTCTAACAGTATGTTTATTCAGATGAGATATTAACAGCAGAGGTAAAATAACTTCTAAAATAAAAATCTGCTACTTAGATTTTTAACCAAAATACTATTTTCTTTACACAGCTGTATGAAGCAGTCTATGATACATTATTTACAAAGAAATTGTTCACTGTAAATAATAGCAAATCCAAACACAACAGCAATGAATATTCTTGTCCTAAAAGAGTCAAAATATAAGTAATAATATTGAGACTAATTTTCTCAATTTTCTAGTAAGTTAAAGGAAGTAATAACAGAAGAGTAAAACAGAAGGTTTGCCACTGGAATATTTTCTAATTGCAATCTGCAGTTTGTCTCTCGTACTTGAATTTGATAAACAACTTCCAAAGGCTTTTGAATAGACTCCAGAATAATTTCTATTTTGCTGTATGAATTTTTACAGCAAGCACTGTAAACGAATGGTGTTTACAATACTGATCTATACTTACCTAACTGCACCTCAGGAGAGGTTTGAGGCTGCAGATCCTGCACCATTGAGGGATCAGCTGCTAAAGGATCAGAGAGTATTCTCCAGGCCAGAAAGATGCCCTACCTTGACACGGCTCACAGCCTCCTGGGCCTGCATCATCCGGATGTTTTTGGAAGGGTTGCGCTCGGACAGCAGCTGGGTGGAGCCCAGGTAATTGGCTGCAAAGATGATTCCATCAATGAGGTCCTCAGGTTCACAAGGTCCTGGAACTGACAGGAGGCATTTACAGTTACTGCCTTTCTAAGGAGTGGGGAGATGAGAAATTCAATAAAGGATATTGAGGCTTGAACAACCTTTCTAATACTGGGACTGTTCTCACCATCCTCTTTATTCAGCTGTTAAGCTTTACATCCAACTTGATTAGATTGACAGTAAAGAACAGTCATTCCAGAGTTTGGCTGAAATCTCTTGATACTGAACATTTTTTATGCCTCAACAGTTTTATAAATGAAATGTGCTTTGAGCTAGATCCACTTGATGACCTTCTAATGCATTTTTTTAAAAGTATAAAAATTTTGTGTCAGGAGCAAAATGACACTGAAGAGGAATGTTAATTTTAAAAAAGGCTTATTATTTGGTGTTCAATTTATTTATAATCAAGTCAATGTGAAAGATTATTATGTGGAAAGAATATATGGTATGCTATGCTGGTTAAATGTACTGAAGTAGTGGTTTACACATACATCTTTCAGTGAGCTTTCCTATCCTTCATATTCCCATTGTAATTTAGCAAAAGTCTTCCAACAGAATATAAACATGATCAAAAGGAGTGACTTCTCTTTAGGCAGTGTTGCCGACACTTATTCATCCCTGCAGTTCTCAAATCCACCTGCCAGAAATCTCAACCCCCAGCAAAAACCCACAGTCTTTGTAATTCAGGACTCAAGGTATATAAACACACAGATACATATTTGATACCAGTCCTGTACTCTTCAGAGACTTGACATTAACTAACAGTGCTCATACAAATTTGAGGTATTTGGTTTGCTATCAAACACCATTGTTTTAATCTTCATTATATATCACAGAACACATTTGATTTAGCTCACATCTGTACAAATCCAGTAATGGTTTAGATCTTCATTACAACTCAGAATAGAATTCTGTGGAATTTAAAATTTTTGAAGTATTAGGAAAGCATAAAAAAATATCTTGACAATCTCCACGAGAAGTATGAAAACCCTCAAAGAAATCCTTGAGAAGCTAGTAATTTAGAAGTCGCTGAAACTCTTCATAAAGGCCAAGTCTTGCAGCCTTAATTCACTAAACGAAATCAAAGAAAATGAAAATTCCACAAGAACTCTGTTCCTGTATCACTGCTCCTGTTTGCTTACATCTCTGTACCATTCTGTTTTTCAGCAGATGGATGATGTATTTTGTATGGTGCTTCTTCTGATGGTGCTATTCATCTGTCTTAGTCTCATACATTTGTACTTCTTCCAGCATGCAACAAAATACTCATGTTGCATGATATTGACATCTTGTTTCAAGGGCAGCAGAGAGGGAAATTAATTAACGACGTGAATTTAATGTTAAGGTAGCAAAACTTCATTAGATACCTGCATCAACACACTCACTCAAAATTAAAGTAGCTTTAATTTTGTTTTCTTTCATTCACTTCGGGCTAAGTAAATGAGGCTAAATTGAATCAAGATTGCTTTAACTCTGAAATAGGCTTACCCACATGTTTAAATCAGTTTAAGTAAACTCCCTTAGTAGGTAATTTAGATTAATTTTCTTGAAATGTTTGTGTCTGAAGACAAGTAAAACTGCCATTCTTTGTGCAAATTCTCATACAATCATTACTACATCGAGCAAAATGCCCAGGGTGTCTTTGGGGTCTGTGCAACCTGTGGATGCTACAAAGGAAAAAAACACCTATTCTCATGTCTTGGCTGTTTGTGACAGCAATGATGTTTTAACTAAATTGTGTGAAAAAATTCTTGAGCATGGAAATAATCTAGGCTGTTAAGCAATTTTATAATCAAAATGTTATTTATTTGGATAAAGAGTGGGGCTTTCTAGTTGGATGTCATTGATTGTCTTTTCTTAGCTTTAAAAAATGATGTTTTGCAGAATCATTATACTAACAACAGTCAGCTACATCATGTATAAATCAGCAGCATGCAGAAAATGCTTACAGCAGTAGATAATAGAAAAAAAAAGACATGTTGGGCAGAAAACATTTCCAACATACATTTCTCATCATGAAGGCAATGTAAGCAACTGTAAGGTAAAACAAGACATCTCTTGGAAGGATGGAATGGTGCTGAAAATTGCCAGGGTCAGATTGGGTCACCTGGGTGTTTTCTTCCCTTATCTCTGTCTGCTTTAAATAATGCAAAAATGCAGACTTGGCTGAGGTCCCAGCTCATCAGAGCACTTAAGCATGCCCTTGACTGCAAACGTGTGCAAAGGCTTACTGATGAGGAAGGGAAGAAGGAACAGGTTTCAAACGTGAAGGTTCGTTTGATGTGAGCAAAGCTTGGAATTTTGTGTTGAATATTGGTGCTTAAACATTAGATAACTATTTCTGAAAAATTTAACTGCAAATTTCTGCACTTGTCAAGGCAATAGAGATTACTTGGTTTTCTGCTGATCTACTAATGTGACAAGTATAAAGATATTGGTGGACTAAATAGACTATGTCCAAACATTTTTAATTAATGTTTGTATTCATTAAATAAGAAAAAAAGAAAACTCAATCCCAAAAAAAATCAATAATTAGCATAACTGAATTAATTAATCTGGTAAGAATGCATTTTTATATCTACCTAACATCATGTAAGCCAAGGATTCAGACAGTATTTAGAGACTGCATTCTGAGCACAGAAGTTCAGTTTCCTGCTGAACTATCAGAAGTCACTGAGACCCTGGGATGTGTGGCACTGCAGCAGATTTTTCATAAGGAGTAAATGGACACAGGGCATAAGTCACCTTCCAGAATGTTTGTCTACTACTTCCACATTCTGACTGACTTCTTTAGTTCATCATGCTTGCTACTGTGTAAGGGAATCAGATTTACGTTGATAGGACAGAGCGCAGAAAAGCCAGAACCACTGAACATAGAACTAATTACTCCCGAGTATGTAGTGATACTACTACTAAAATAATTCTAACAGTAAAGAACATTTAGATATGATAGATTAAAAGATGTTTTTTATGTTCACATGGTGTATGAAAAATATTATGTATCAATAGAAATATAGCTACTGTAGTTAGGGAATGCTGAAAGTGCTTTAAAACTGAATAGGAATATAACCAGAATGTGATTGTGGTATTGCTGTCAAAGCTCAGGGAACAACAGCAGTGTCAGCTGCCAGAATCTTTTCTTATGTGCAGAGGGGTCCTGTACTTTTTGGGACTCTAGAATAAAAATTAACAATAAAAACTGTGTTTTTCTCTGAGTTCAGAGAGCAGTCATGTAAGCTATCATAAGCTCCTAGTGAGCCATGTATTTATTTGTGTTAGACAATGCTATATAATACCTGCAATAAAAAAAGCCTAATAGACAGCTTATCCTCACATACTGTGCCACTACAGAAAAAATCAGAGCAAGCAAAATGATTGAACTAAAAAAAGGTATTGTATTATATTATGTAAAGGGTATCCTGACCCCTTTCCAGCAGAGTAGTGAGCTGACTGGTATGTAAAGAAAAAGATACAACCTTTTTATCCCAGTAAAATGAAAATGTGCAGCTGTATCTGCAGCTCTGTGAGGGGGGAATTGTCTCACCTGCTTTAAAGTTCTGTGCATGCTGTCCTTGCTTTGTGCCTGTCCACTGTGCAATCAGCAGATGCTTATTACAAAACAGCATCCTGCTTTCTTGTCTCTGCCACTCTTGGGGAATGTGTTTAAATGTACCTCTGTGTAGGGCCTGTTAGTCAGTACATGCCAAGTGTTCCATGTAATATCCCTCAGATGTCAACCTGAAGGGACAATCTTTGAACTTTCCATTTGTTCTAGTTCTTTAAGTAAATTACTGAAACAGAAAATGCTTGTCAAGATGGTGAGACCAGGGAATAAAAGAAAAATGTGTTGGATATACTAATATTATTCTAAATTGTATTAAGCTTTCCCTGAGTTGAGAATGGCATTAGAAATTAAGTTTTTCACTTTTTTTTTAAGGTTTCTATTGTGTGTGTTTGGATTTTTGAAAATGTCATAGTGTCTTTTCTCACTTTACAGTGTAGTCATTTTCTTTGCAGGAAGAGCTGTGTGCATTTTCCCTAAGAAAGGTTCTTCAGCTGTCTGTGAGTCAGAGAATGGCAATGTTTTTCAGTACAATCCTCTTTTAATTCTGTCCACCTGCTTGTGCTAATAAGCTAATAAATTGACTTTTTTTTTTTTTCAAACAGAATATTTGTAATAGCACTGCAGAAGAGATTGAAGAAACATGTGAAAGCTCTGGTCTCCTGAACAGAGGGTGGATTACCATTGTTTGGTCAGTTGAGGAGAATCTTTCTATTTGTGTTGACAACTGAGGTTCCAGGAGTCAATAATGGGCTCTCAAGAACACAGTGCTCTTACATATTCTTAAACCTCCTGCTGGGGCCCACTGTTACACTCTTTTTAACATCTTCCAAATTTGTAGCCATTCTTAATTTTCAACTGAATCCTTCTGGGAGCTCTACCTGCTCCTCCTTTTTTATCACCACTGGGCTCCCATTGCCATAAAGAGGGTGAAAATGTTAAATACTTCCATACTTAAACTGCTCAGCTGTGTTCTCTTGGGTTTGACTGGTTTTTAGAACTGTGATCCTTTATATATAAAGTATATAAAGTAAAGATCAAAGTATTTCCTTCCACTTCATCCTACTTTAATTATGGATAATGTCAAACTTACCATCAACAAAACTTGGAAAGGAAGACACTTTCTTTGTCTGTTGAGAAATAAAAATGGTATAGCTGTAACAAAATATCTTTCACACAATGAAGTGAATTGTTATTATATTTAAACAGCTGACCACTGTCACATAGGCACTGCTTAGCACACTGAACACATTACATCACAGTCATTAACCCAACCTAACTTACACAGTGCTCTGTACTTAGGAGTCTCAAAGTACTTTAAGGTCCCACCAAACAAAAAAATAAGGGTGGCATGGGGAAGACCATGAAAATTGCCTAGGAAGTCTGATGTCAAATGAGCAATACAAACCAGCAATTCCCAATACAATCAGTTGCCTACTAGATCACATTGCCTATTAGTGATATGCCAAATTTCCAATAAAGAACATTTAACAATGTTTTACAAAGCAACATTCTGGGCAGGTGAATGAAAAGAACTGTCCCTGACTGCTCAATACATAGAATTACACTTAATCTTAGCAGGGGCCATAACAGGGCCCTTCTTAGGCTACTGTCCCTAGAACAGACACAGACCTTCCATTCTTTGTCTTTTGCCAGCCTCCTCAGTTGTTCCCATTTCCAGGAAAGAGGCTGATTTCGCCATTATGGGAAAAGGCTTTAGAAATGTGCCTCTTCATTAATATAACAGGCTACAGGCTAAATATGTTATGGTTTTGAGATAAGAGACTTCTGCTTTTAAGTCTCAATTTCATTTCATTGTGTCTAGCCCCAAGCATAACTCATTCTGCATTCTCAGATGTCTTCTTTGCTCCAGTCTTCAGTGACAAGAGCAGGCCTGTCTATCACTGTGTCTCTTCACAGCTGACTGAGCCAGGACTGACACTGGGAGGGGGCGGGGGAGGCATGGAAGCAGAACATTATTTCTTTTGGATGCTACTTTTGCACTCCAGTAACACAAAAAGAGAAGTTCTGAAGTGTTCTCCCTACTCCGCATGGCATCAGAGAATTTTAGGCTTGAGTACATGCCATAGACAGTTATGCAAAATGAATGAGGCAGCAAAAATTCATGGGTATAGTTCAAAGCCTTTCCAGAGTAGGCAGATATGGTATTTCTTGTCAGTTCAGGAAAAGAAAGGGAGCTTAGGTCTGTGTGTGTGAGCAGGAGAAGGCTGACAGCGTGAGGCTGCTCTCCTGCTGGAAGCCTGGCTGCAGGAAGGCAGGCAGCACAGCTGGCAGCCCCAGTACCTACCTCGGGGGGATTGTTATTGTCAGCTGGGCCATTGAGGTCTGAACGCTGCTGCTTCCTGGGCTGCTCTAAACCATTGCACATCTGCAGGGAAAAATAAAGGATTTCACATCCATTACTTATCTGAAGTTATTTATGTACAATCAATATTCATTACTGCTACCAAAATATTATAATGTGATATAGCAGTTGGAATTTCCTACTGTAATTTAGCAAATATCAGTTTCATATAAAAATGCTAAGCTGTTTAATTATAATAAAGTATCTACTTTGATGTAAATAATAGGACATTTCAATTATCATTAAGTAGCAGTTACAGTACTGATTTAAATATAAATTATTTTATGTCAATGCAAATTTCTCATATGAAATTAAGTCAAATGCTATCATGTCCAAATAAATCAGAAAGCAAAGTCAGAATTTTTTAATGTGTTTATTCTCAGTATTGTACAAAATCAAAACAGCCCAGACATAATGGCCATCTCTGATCTGAAAAACAGAATTCTAGCACTGAATGTAGGCTCCTATGTTTGTAGGAGATACTTCATGACATCTCCTTCCTCGTGGGCCAAGCAGATCTACAGGATGTCGGCAGTACAACCTCAGGCTTCAGAAGAAATGTGAAAGAGAAAATATAAAATCATACACAAAGAAAACACTAAGTATTTTAAGCTGCAGAACACTCCTTTTTTCCTGTTCCAGTAGTCTCAGGGGCAAAATTTCTTTTCCAGACCTGACCCAAATCACACAACACCAACACCCAGCATGGAGAGTGCCCATATCCTCTAAGTACCGAGAAAGAGAAGTTTTTGTGGCTCAGATTTTCAGTGTTACAAATCTGGAAAACCAAGGTGATTTCTGGAAGAAATTTTTAGGGTTTAGGATATTTCATTTCCCCTTTTTTCTTAGTTTTCCTGTAATGTATAAAAATAGGGCCAAAATGTCACTTCCATTGTAAAGCTTCAGAAATAAAAACTTGTATCAACAATTGTGCAAATGGAAACCACCAAGGATTATTTGAAAGGGTCAGCCTGAATGTTAAGTGGGAATGTAACTCCTTGGCTTCTGAACTTCAAATGCAGAATGTAGCTGTAGGCAAAACAAGTCTTTATGTTCACCTCTAGACAAATTATTCCTATGATTAATATTTAGTCAGCAGAACAAAATATGCTAATGAAGCAGGCACATTAGAGCTCAGTAATGACAACTGTCATGTAAGACATGAGATTCACCCAAGTAGTAAGCAGGACTTTAAGAAAGAACCAACTATCTGATCATAGGAAAAAAGGTCAGACTTCACAGTCTTCTCTCACGAAGATTCCATTACTCATGTGTTAGTTTAGTGGTGGTGCTAGTACACGTCAGGAGTGAAGAGAAAATATTTCTGATGAGTAATTCCAAGTAAACAAGTCAAGTTAGGGAAAAGAGGAGTCAGAGTAAGTTGAGAGATCTAAGCATTCCACAAAATCATTTAATTTCTATCAAATTTCAGTAGACATTAAAATAATTTCCAGTTGATTTTTACCACCTCAAAGAACCATTTTTTTTCTTTTGTCCTTGCATATATTTAAAATTGAGAACCAGCCATGATGAGTTTCAGAGAAAAGCTGCTGAATTCTTAGGGAGATGTATTTAGGAGCACATGCTGCTTTCTGATTTAAACTTCCTGAGAAGACTTTGTCACTTACGCATCTTCAGGCAGCAGACACTGATTTTGCTGTTGATTGGTCTCAGGAGCTGACTGCTAAAACTCTGTGCCAATTAGCACAGAGAAACTGGTTTTGTTTGAGACTGTTTGGACTGTTTAGCACTTTCAGAAAGTACTTGGTAAGTTTGGGAGCTGTCACTTGGTAACAGATATTTATTAGTAGTGCCCCCACAGCTGCCTAGAGCACACAGGAGAATGCAGAAACCTTCTTTGATGCTCTTCATTTACACCCATTTGTGTTTTCTACAAACTGTTCTCATATGCATCCCATAATACATAGAGTGACTTCCAGCAAGACATTCCTAAGAAACACATTCTCTAAACTGCCTATCATCTTAGTTTCTTCACACTGTTCTAAAGGTGAAATCTTTGACGGACAGAAGACTCCTGTATTTGGACTCTGCAGCAGCAGAGCAGCGTCCCCATGCTGAGAGAAGGAAATAAACATTTGTGTCAATACTGAGCTCTACCAGCACAGGCAAGGGAAACACAGTAGCAGCACTGATGTGTGCAAAGCCTTTGGAGGGGAGAAAAGAGATAAAATACAATGGCTTCATTAAATTTTCTTTCACAGATTTTTATAGGGATCTCTGTCTCTGGACTTCTATGTTGAAGAAGTAGAAGGACACAGCCTATATGAAAGTTGTGCAAGCAGACTGACACTGCAGGAGCTCGTGGCATCCCTTCTAGGGCAGTTTGTGCAGGCACATTTGGTTAGGTTCTCAAAAGTATGCCAGTGTTATGAAAGAATAATTGAGAAATCTGAAGCAGTGTCAGGATTCAGTGTCACAGGCAGCATCATTGAAAAGCACTTGCCTCTGATCTCCTTTGAAAAGCAGGCAAATTTCATGGTAAATTCATGTTTCTTCAAAAGGTTAAAGGTGGGGTAGGTGTTGGTGCTGTTAAAAACCTTTTATTGTTGGTAAAGAGGATTTGCTTGAATAAGGTAGGAGAGAACACATTCTCAGGAGTCTGAAATCTACCTTGAGTAGACATTAGGAGCAAGGGCTGATTAAACTGTCAGGGCTCAAGCACTGAGTCCCAGAGTCATGTTCAGCCCCTACCCAGCAGAAATATCTCAGCCATGCCAGTGCCAGTGTTTCAGGAGCAGGATCCTAGCTGGGATGAACAGGGTAAACTCTGCCACATAGGAGGTTCCAGAGGAGGAGTAATTTAATTGAATTGATTAGTGCAAAAGACACCCTCCATTGTTTATTATTTCAGCTGCTGTCCAATGTTTTGCTTTTTTCTTCACTGCTTCTACAGTTCTTTAATGATGCTAATTCTGCACGTGCAACAGGAGAAACTGAAGTCCCTGCAGTCAGGGACGGCAGGATGGGGCTGGAACTGCCCTGTGCCATCCTGCTGTGGGGGAAGGAAGCAGGACAGGGTATAGTGCACTGAACAGGGGAGAAGCTTTTTTTGTGGTTTCAGCTTTCTTTAGACCAGGCCATTGCTCATATTTTGTGCAGTACAAGCACACATTTGCAGCACGAGATTATTCTCATTTTTCACCTGGTAAAGCCATTCCTGTGTTGAATACTGTTACTGTGCCAAACCAACAGTATTGTAGCTAACTACTACAATTGTAGTAATATTTGTACTGAAGCAAATCTAACAGCATTCCAAAAAGCAACTACTTTTGCACAGAAATACCATTTCCATTTAAAATTTCTGATTGTACTGTATGCTACTGTCAGTTGAAGGAGTCATTCAGTTCACCTTCTTCCATCCCAGGATATACCTGTCAGTTAATTCATGTTTGTTGCATTAAAAACTGTGGCAATTGAGGAGAATTACATCAGTAGCATGTCTGATCATACTCAATTTCTCTGCTACATGTAAAACATATGCAATGAAATAAGAAACAGAAAAAGAAAATTTCTTCATGTGATAATTCAACAATTAGCTGAGAGATGACCAAGATATCAAATGGGTGTGTGGGAAACTCCTAGCTTGAGGGAGTTGTTAAATTGGAGTTGTTATAAAATACCCAAAATAGTCAGTTTAACTTCATAACTGTGATGTCTTTCTTAAATAACGTAAGCATGGAAAACCTGCAAGAAATAAGAGTTCTGCTAAGCAGTGAGTTAGAGCAAATATACAATCTGAATGTAGTCTAGATTTGCCTCAGATTTGTCTAGTGCTAATCATCCCCTTCAATGCTTCCCTAGAAGTATTTACAAATAAAGGCTAATCAAGCCAAGCTCATATATCCCTGAAGTTTTGAAGCCTGAGCATGTGTATGTAAGACAGCAGACTGGCCCACACTGAAAGTCAAACAAGATGCTTACTTTGTTTTTCCTTCTCTATAAATTGTTAGGTGTTTCTTATAAAGTGGTTGTTTTCTGGGGCAAACCCAGCAACAGGAACCTTTAAAATCACATTTGTTTACTTGTTAACTAGCAAATGTCTTGCAAACAGAATGTTAGCACCTATCATGAGCTAAGAATTAACAGCTGTGTATTTTAACGGACTGAAAATGTAAATAAGCAGTAATTCTACCTATGTGAGGCAGGAAAGGAGAGGAGCAGAAACATGAAAAAGCCAAGGATAGCATACTATGTGCATAAAACAACAAATGCCCCTTCCTGCTTGCTCATTGTTTACAAGACCTGACATACACGTAGTATATCTTGATTTAACCTAGAAGCATTCAAATCTACATTTATTTAAAGATAACTGAGGCAAAAAAGTGCTCTATATGCTATTGCATATATGTGTGCCTCTATCATCCCTTTCAGCATGATATTTTGTACTGTGAGATGCACACTAATAATAACAGATCTTTTAGCAAGGTGACAAAACCAAGGCTCCTCTATGCAGCTTCTCTGCAAACAGTAAGTTTAGCATGCAAATATACCGACAACAGCCTTATAGCCTTGGGTTTTTTTCCTTTCACTATGGAAGAAATTGAATTATTGTAGTTGGTTTAAATATTTTAGTGAAAATTATGGCTATCTTGGTTTCACAAATGAGACACAGGTTCATTTAGGCAGTACTCTAATTCCATCCATCCCTTTAAAATTTCATAGTAAATATAAATAAATAAATATAAAAATAATTGAATGCCCCAGAAGAAACAATCCTCTGCACTTTATCTAAATTCCTTGAGGTCCAGTATTATTGCTAAACATCCGACCACACCTTGTGCTAAGGACATTTAAGGAGCTACTAAGAAAAAAAACTAACTTGGGCATGTCATAGATGGATAATGAGATGATTGGCTCTCGCAATTAAGAGATGAATGTTGTGTGAATAATAAGAGAAGCCTTATTGATGTATAGTTGTGTCATTGTAGTTTAGATATCCTCTGTTCTCCCCACAGTTCTCTTTCCCCCACCCCCTACTGTTGCCATCAGACAGTCTGGGTTGTCTAGGACAGGTACAAGAAGGTGAGCACATGCGCCCCTTGCATGGGACAGCTGGGAATGGAAAAGCTTGGTGCTTAGGGGGTGAGGCATGGCAACACCTGACCTCCAATCAAGTGACAAGAAAGCAATCTCCATCAATAAATGGCAAAGAAGAGCTGACTGACAGACTTTGAGAGGGGTCAGGGCTGGCTGATGCAGCTCCCAGGAGTATAAAAGCCTGAGCAACCATCTTGAAGGTGAACTGGCCCTGTCATAGGTAGTTGAGAAGGCAGTTACCAGTGCTGCAATTTTTCCTTATTTAGTCTTTTTGTTGTATTTTTGTTAAGGTTTTAATAAACCTTTTAAAATTTTTAAAGTGAACAGTTGTCTCTCACAGGCAGAAATGGGTACTCAGCTCTTACTGTAATGCCCTCACCACGAGCCTGATTTGTGTGTAAAGCTGAGAATGATTATCTGCAGTAGGTGAGAACACAAAAAGGTAAGACCAGTCTTGTAATGACACACATATTCAAGTAATGCTTGCCAAAGGTTATTGAACTTGGTTTTTATTCTTTCTTTTACGTCCCTGAAGGCTTGGGGTGGGTAGAGGGGCAATTACCTCATGTGTCCATTTGTGAGACTCTGTATCTCTGTAACAAATGCCACTTCACAGCTTTTTGCCTTGGAGGCTTGTGCTCTTCTCTGCAGTGAAGTACCCACAGCAGCTGTGCCTTGTGGCCTTTCTTTAAAATGAAATGCATGCCTTCATATCCAGTTTGTTTAGCCTGATCTGGACTAGATACCTGTACTGCTGTATCTCTTAATTTCCTGTCTCCATGTTTGAAGGGATGAAACACTGTGTACTGTCCAGTGCTCTCTATCCATTCAGACAGGAGTTTGTGGTTGCTATTAAAAGTGATGGTATAAACTCAGTATCTTCATCCAGCCTGGGGTTACCTATCACAGCAGTGCTTCCCTTCTTATTAAATAAGATGAAGGCATTGGTCCAAGACTGGCAGGAAATAACAATCAAAGCTCAGACAGGCAGTTCAAAAATATTTAGGTACTTTTGGTTTTTTCCACACCGGGGCAATTAAATCAAAACCCAGGTGTTATACAGCCCTCAGCTGTCAGCAGTCTGTTAAGAATGACAAAAGTAAAATGCAGTTCAGCTCAGCGTCTGATAAATAAACTTAAAAACAACAAAAAGTTGTTGAAAAGAAGGTCTGTTTCAAATATTGTCTTGAATGGGTAATCGTTCAGTGTGGGGGAAAACCCAACAATTACTTAGTCAAGCACTGAGGAATTCTTTCTTATTCAGGAACTCATCTCTTGTTCTGCAAATATTTTGAGAACTTGCAAGGAACAACACTCCCAGTAGTAGCTGCTGGGAGAAAGGCCATCACTAAGTCTAAAACATTCTACCTCAACCTCTCTGCTCCCAGCCAACACCTAGGAGCTGTTCAAACCATTCAACATCAGCAAGCTTATTCACTAAGGGACTTTTATGCTGGCAGTAGGGCACTGAATATAGTAAGTTGCACAATTTGGTTATAATTATACTTCTGGAAATAGAATGTAGTAATGAATATTAAAAACTTGCTGCAGATATGGGAAATCTGAAAATATCCCCCTAAGACATTTTTTGTTCACAACTATAATGAAGGTCGACCTGTTTCATCAGCATATACTTAAGCATTTGATTTCCTTTTACTGTTTTTCAGAGGAATTAATGTATTTTAATGGAATCACCTAGACTAAATTGTTTAATTGTGGGGCACTTAATTATAGAAAATCCTATTTACAGAGGATTTTTTTTACATTCTGTCAAAACCAGGAAATTATCAACTGCTAAGGCAATGGTACAGGAGCCATTAATGGAAAAAAAAATGCAACTATTTCAACGCTGACCCCAGTTTTAAGTTTCTCCAGACTGTCACTGCAGAATGAAAATAGTATAATGAAGCTGGTTTTGACACATGTATCTGGAATACTTTGTTTGAATTGTCTCTTTTTTGTGCAAAACATCTTTGCTAGATCTGTACATATGCTGATTACATTTAGCACCTCTTTCTAAACACACTGTGATTGTGTGAATGCAGTTACAGTAAAATTTAAAATACTGCTAATACATTTACATATTAATAGATATAAAAATATTGCTAATTTTGTTTGGAATAACTAACATAACTCTTGCATGCCTTTGACAATTTGGTTAAAAAAAGCACCTCATACCTGCTCCTGTGGCCACTTCTGTCTGTCCTCAGGGGATCTTGACTTTGCTTTAAAACCTCGATGCACATCTCCACTGTGCTTAGAGGCAGATGGGATATTCAGTGATTTTGGCCTCCCCTCATGCCTGTTAGCACTGTGAACAGCTTCTCCCTTTGAACAAGTCTCTTTGTAGTCATGTGCCATGTTTTCAGTCCCAGTGTGCTCTGGACTCATTTCTGTTGTACTGTTAATACTGCTCATGCTCATACTCATTTTGATTTCTGCTACAATCTGGTCAATGTCCTCTTCCTGCTCTTCCAGCTCTGCATCCTCTTTTCTAGAATGGTATGGTGATATTCCCTGTGAATTTCCATTAGCCTCTGCTGGGTAATAGTCCGGATAGTCACCTTCACTTTGACAGTACTGTATGTTTTCTTCTTGGTCTTGGATCTCCAAAGAAGATGCTTCATCCTCCAAAATCTGAATGCCATTATCTTGACCTTCCTGCCACTCTTGCCTGTCCATCACCTCGTTTTCATCTTGGTGCTGAATTTTGCCTTCAGCCCATTCTTCTACAGCTTCCTGACATTCATCTGTTTCAACATGGTGCTCCTCATGGGGAACATACTCCTCCCCATTGCAGTCCATTCCTTCCAGGTAACTGTCATCCTCTGGACAGTATCTGATGTAGTATGTGATCCCCTCCTCTTCTTCTGGCAAGCCTTCATCGTAGTCCTCCTCCTCCGAAGTGTTGTTTACGTAGTCAGAGCTGGAGTCACCATCTCCACTATGGTCATTGCACTCGTGTTCCACAGGGGTAGGACTACCTGCTCTGACAGTTGCTAGTTCTGCCTCCTTTGCTGCATAATCTTCAATGGGAAGGTCACTTTCTTCATTTTCGGGCTCCCTGTTGTGAGATGAAGTTGGGCAAGCTCTGGCTCTGTGATCCAGCATGCTGGCTGCAGTGCTTTGATGTTTCCTGTTTGCCATAGCCAGCTCCTTACATGACAATCATTTCCAGCAATTACTGCAGGGAAGATGGAAAAACACACATTCAGGGAAAGGTCATCAGCAGAGAACAGTGATGTTAATAGGAAGCAAACTGATAGATTCATTTGGTTAAAAGCCTGTGTTTGTAGATATTTGACCAAATTCAGACAGCTAACTTTTAAAATGCTTATGCTGTGGAACCATGAAATCAAAGTAATAAGTTGCATTCTGAAAGGAACAGATAAAGAGAGGGTTCTACATTTGTGCTAAATGTATTCTAGTGTAGGCTCTCTTCTCTCAATTTGACAGAGAATTAATCCTGAACCTTGAAATTAGTTTTCAATTTCTTTTTCTTGCCAGGAAGGGGTCATGCTTTGATCGCTATGCGGTAAACGGGACCTCTTTCGAATTTTCAGCTTAGGCATTTCTTTAACGTGTACTGAAAGCAAACATTTAGAATCTGACCTGCTCTTACCAAAACTAAAGGAAACTAATTCTACTAACTTGGCAGTCACATAATGCACTAAAAGATAATGTATTGGTATTAAAAGTGTTATTTTTTTAAAAAAGCACTTGCTGGTCTATTAGCCCTTTCTAGCTGGATGCCATGAAGTATCTCCCATTGTTAAATCAAATATTGCTTTTAGAATAGATTATTTCAGTTGGAAGGGACCTACCACAATCACCCAGTGCTGACCAAGTTAATGCATGCTTTAAGGCCCTCATCCAAATGCCTCTTAAAACACAGACAGACTTGGGCATTGACTGCCCCTGGAAGCCTGTTCCAACATCAGACCGTGCTCTTGGTAAAGAAATGCTTCCTGAATCCAGACTGTCATGATACAGCTTTGAACCATTCCCAAGCATTCTATCACTGGATACGTTCTCTGGGGAGAAGTTCAGCACCTCCCTGCCCATTTCCCCTCTGGAGGATGCTGTAGAGGGCAATGAGGTCACCTCAGCCTCCTTTCTACAAACCAGACAAGCCCAAAGTCCTTTGCCATGCCTCCAAGGACACCTCCTTCCAGCCCTTTCACCAGCTCTGCTGCCTTTCTGTGCACACGTAAAAGGACCTTCACATCTTTCTTAAATGATGGGGTCCAGAAGTGCACACAGCGTCCAGCTGAGGCTGCATCAGTGCTCAGGACAGTCCTGTGCAGCAGGGCAGTCCTCTCTTCTGACCAGTGTTTGACAGAGCCCAGGATGTGCTTTGCTCTCTGGGCTGCCAGAGCACTTTGCTGAGTCCTGAACTGCTGTCAGCCAGCGCCCCAGAGCAGAACCTGGCATTCAGACTTGTTCAGCTAATCATGGCCCAATGCTCCAATTGATCCAGATCCCTCTGTTTCTTCAGTGTCTAATCTATATTCCAGGTAAAACACACATTTACAGTAAAAGCTCACTAATTCTAAATAAGCAGGGGTTATATGAACTATATAAAAATAGTTAAAGAAAATAGCTAATTCTAGACAGGCTTGACAAGTGTGGTCTGCTGCATGATTTGGAAGGGGGAAATAATCTATTTTAAGTATTTTGTGTTTCTCTGTATTTCATTGTTGTATCCTTGTGATAAACTTGACCTGTGCAGTTACTTCATTGGCATGAAGGGAGCTCAGGCTCCTCACCAGCACCACACAACTGCAAGAACATTTTGATTTAACCAGTTTCCCAAGGCTTGAGCAATAAAACTGCTGGAGCTAGAGGATTAGAGGAGCTATATAGGGGGTAATTTCTTAGGCATTATGAACTTAGAAAATAAATCCTGTCACTGTAACTTAGAACCTTATAGATATTCCTGTAGAACTTCTGATACCACAAGAAAAATCCCAATCCTTAGTTTGTGACAAATCCAGGAATCTGATGTATCTATAGATCATGGCAAAGATATCACATGGCAAATCTATCCCTGAAACGTGGGTTCTGGATTCTGAGATACAAAGCAGAGATGTTAGTCACAGGAGGAGGTATGAATGGAACCCAGCATATGGAGCCCTTTTTGGTTATTGTTACCTTGCAGAATTAGTTGTGCCAGAATAAAGCTTTAAAGTAAATAGTGTATCTGAAGAGAAGTATTAAAGGAGAAGATCAGAGAAGACAAAACTTTCTCAGTGATTACTTGCCCTTCCTCACTATTGGAGGAACTAGCAGACTTGTAAGATTTTCTCAAGGCAATATGTATGTCCACTATCCCTTTAATAATAATGATACTTCTTACATTGGAGTCAGTTATAAGAAATTCACAACACCAAGCCATCCATCCAGTAGGGTTAGTCAGAGTCTAATTTAGTCTAAGTCTGATTTAGTCAGCTCTTACTGCAAACTAAGGATGTTTCTCTACTGTGACTGCAGTATAAACAAAATTTATTGGATTAAAATAATAATCTAAGCAGTAATAGTATCTAAATAGTAATCTAAGTCACAACACCGCAATGCTCTGTACAGGCTGCAATAAACTGCCCACAAGCAAGACAAATTGCTTGTATGACCATTTCAGGCATGAGTACACTACACAGGCATGTCTAAAATGAGTTAAGATGGAGTGCTATAATAATTTTGAATGGCACTGCAAGAAAACTACAGAGATCTCATCTGGTTTAACCATTTTTTTTTCAAGAACAGAACAAATCAAGTGCCTCTTATTGAAAGAAAAGTTCTCATCTGCAATGGCCTTAACCTTCTAGTGGAAATATTATCCATATTAAATAATACTTAAATATTTACAGTGCAGTTGACCCTGTACATAAGTCACAACAGTGTAGCTGAAGATACAGAAACACAGAGCCTGTAACAAACACAGTTTGAAACCCATGACTCAGATTTTTCTAAAGCATATGGATATGAGAACCCTTTTTTTAGCCAGTATAATGGAGTTTTTCCACCCACATCTAAGGCTCTTCATTTGGTATCCAGGCCCTAAAACTGCCTTAAGTGTCATCTCTACAGTGATAGCCCTTTATAAATTCCAGTAGTGAATGCTCAAAGATGCTGCTTACCTGCAGGAAAATCCAGTGCATTGTAGATATTCTAGAACACATTGCAGGAAGCCACCTGAATGTGATTTGAGAGCCAAAAGGCAGGGCAGGAGCCTGGGGAGGGAGGGGTGGCTGATGAGTGGAGCTCCATCAGCTGTGGGGAATTGCCAGGGAGGGCTCTCAGCTGGGCACTGCAGTCCTGCCCCACAGGGGCCTGGTAATGTGCAGCATCTGCACTGTGTGGGAAGGACTTAAAAATTTGTGGCAGACTGGAAATTTTTTAGAGCATAGGTGGTAAAAAAATAGAGAAAATAATTCCTCTTAAGCGTGTCTGGCACTAGTAAGAAATAGAGAAAATAATTCCTCTCAAGCATGTCTAGCACTGATATACTGGGACATGGGAAATGGTTCTTCAGTTAATTCAGTCTGAGTGATGATTGAGGACAGTGCTTTACCCCTGCATGCTGGAACTGAGGCAAAATAAGCTGGATTTTTGGTGAGAGGCAATGCTGATCTTAATGCTATGGAAACTGAAGTTACAAAGCAATTTCTGTACAATAATTACAATTCTACTTGGCCTCCTTTGCAATCTTCTCAGGCACGACTCTTAAGGTGACAAAGTACTGAAATAAAAAGGCAGAATTTATTATTTTCAGCCCATGAATTGCAGACTGAATGTGCACTGATTACAGCATCTTCAAGTACAAAATGTAACTTTTCCAACTGTACCAACACATCAGAATTACTGAGCTGAGTTTTCAAACACCAGTTGAGAACTGCTCTTTATGGAGCTGCACATACATTGCTGTCAAGGAAACACACAGCTGTATTTTAACTCAAATATTAGAACAGCCAGGGCAGCCTAATTTTCTTCCCCTGTATCAAAATATCTCTCAAGCTTCCTAGCAAAATGCTTTAGACACAGATTAGGTCTAGCATAACCTGAATATTTTAAGCTGTTTCATGTCAAACAGCAACATTCCTTAGGGCCACAGGTCTGAACTCTTCTGTCTTCTCACCTACAGAGACATTAATCTTCCAGATTTTAAATATACAAAACCAGAATTTAGAGGGGTTTTTTTTAGAAATGCAACAGATACCAAATTTTTACCATGTGTTCTGCCACTCAGACTACTACACAAAGTCTTCTGAGTCCCTGATTGCATGGATTAGTACTTTAGCTAATATTCACATCAGTTACTGTAACCTTCTATCATAGGTATATTGAAAAAATTAGAAATTGGAGAAAATACTGGACTTCTGTCTTACATTACTCAGTGTTGAAGAGAGGAGTAATGATTTGCTGGATTCAGAGGCATTTTATCAATAAAGGCTCCAGATGAGCTTACAGATCTGCTGTAGGCAGATTCTCTGCTTGGTGTAAGACTCCCTCCTACTTCTTGCATCTCACCTCCCTCCTTGGTAGCAGGGAGTTAGGTCAAACTTCTGCATCACACCAAGCACATTTTTCCATTTCTGGCTGCAGTTGGGATGAAGTGTTCCTGGGAACATGGATCAGTGCTGGATCCCTGTTTACCTTCCTTGGGATTCAGTAATTTTATCTTGCTGAGACAATCAAACCCTGATTTCTGTGGTACAGTGCATCACTAATCTCCATCAGTGTTGTCAGTGAATAAGGGACCAGTTACACAGGGTTCTCAGTAAAAATGCATTTCTTTCAATAATGGTTTTACTTTATTTTTCTTAATTTTCCCTGGCTCAGCTCAATGTTGAAAGGAAAATCAATCTCCAGGAAACACATGCTGCATTTCCATGTGAGAGTAAAAAGGAGTATGCATAGGGGAACCAATTTGTTTTGCTCCCAGAAACAGGACTACTGGGTTACAGCTGGAATTTATTCTAATCAGTGCTCATTATACTCATTAGCTTTCTCCTGAGTTTGCTGCACCTAATCTGAGACAGCTGTAGGGGGGGGTTTATCAACCTTAACACTTCTACATGTTTTCACCTGTGTAGAAAGAGATCTTTACTGTCTTCTAGTAAAAGAGGCCGATTAAATTATCTTTAAAAATGGGAAATGGTACACAATTATAAACATGGTGAAATA